GGGCTACTGTTCTCGCCGTTTTCTCCCAGTTTCTTAGTTTGCTTGAGAAAACCCGTTCTGTGAGAGTTTAGAGCCTTCGGCCAGGGGGTCGAAGGCACCCCTGGTGCGTTGTGGGCTGCTTGGTACTCCGGGCGCCATGATTTGGGCCTATTGGGCCTTCTGGGCCCGTTGGGCCTTTACTGGAGTAGTAGGAGTCTGTGGGCCGGGGGTTCCCAGGCCATATACTCCATCACTAATGATGGAGGAAAGGAAATGATGAAAATCATCACAAAAAATATTGCTTGCATAAAGGCCCAAAACGAAGAAAACCATAGCTAAATTGAAGCCTCTATAGGGAACATCCAATCCCAATTCACTAAACTTCATCTTCGAGTTGAAGATCAAAATCAAAAGTTAAATCAACGGATGGACAACCTTGAACAATATACAAGGAGCTCCATTCACAACCTCGAGGTACAAATTTCTCAACTTGGCGCAACAAGAATCTTTAGAGAAGCTGAGAGATCGTCAAGCCCCACAAATTCTATTGAAGATGTAATGGCAATTTCTATTACTAGTGATGAAATGGATGAAAGATCATATCTGCAACCTTCACCAACACAACTCCCAAAGGTACCCCCATATGACCTTTGTACTCCTTATCCTCAAAGGTTAGTAAGGGATCATAAATATCCTATTTGCCGATGCCATTATGGAAACCCCTTCGTATAAAAAATTCTTGAAGGATTTCATATTGGAGAAGAAAAGACTTGAAGAGGTAGCTTCTATTAACCTTAATGAAGAAATTAGCTCAAGAATTCAAAAGGAGCTACCCTCTAAACCCAAAGACCCAGGGAGTTTTACGATCTCTTGTGCCATTGGGAAATTTGCTTCTATAGCTTCCTTATGTGACTTAGGAGCAGAGGTCAATCTTATGGCATTGTCCCTATTCAACAAACTTGGATTAGAGAAGAAGAATCTTCAACGGACATCCATGGTACTATAATTGGCGAAACGTTCATTAAAAAGACCTTTCGGCGTCATCAATGATGTTTTGGTAAAAGTCGGAAAACTATAATTTCCCGCTGACTTTGTTGTACTTGATATGGAGGAAGGGCAGACCCCCATCATTCTCGGAAGAACATTCTTAGCAACCGGAGGAGCACAAATCGACGTCAGATGAGGTAAAATCATATTCCATCTTGGTGAACAAATACAGGAATTCTCTATGACAGAAAGCATCAATCGGGATGATGGGGGACAAACAAAAAAGGAGGGTGCATATGAAGACGTACTCGAGATCACACCAACGAACAAGGAAGTTCTCCCGAAACTCTACCCGATGAAAGGAGGCACAATGATCAAAGTCTCTCGGAGAAAAGCATCACATCCACCGCCTTAAAAGAAGTACTTTCGTCCGGCCTATGACGTTAAACTAAGCGCTAATTGGGAGGTAACCCAACAAAAAAAAAACAAAAAAAAAAACAAAACCAAATCATCGATCTCAGCTCAAGTATTATGCATTTCCTTCTCTCAAAGACATCTCATTTCACTATTGAAGATTTCATGTTGCATTGCATTCTCCAATCTACATTGAGGACAACGTAAATCAAGTGTGTGGGGGTGAATAATTAGTTGAGAAACTTTTCTTTGCAAATTAAATTTTTTATAGGAAGGTTAATTTTTTTGATATTCTCTCTTTTAAGGGTTTTGGTTGAGAAATATTTTCTTTTACTCACAAAAATGTATTTTTAGATTAATTAAAATATTTCTTAATCTTGAAACCACCAATGTCACTCAAATTTGTGACAATTCTCCAAATCCATACAAATGTGCACAGAGTGCAAATTCAAAATAAAAGTTTCAACCCATTCCAAATCACTCTATTGTCGGATTCTCCTCATTTCTGACAATCTAGATATATAATTACGGAGAACAAAAAAAGAGTTTATATACAAAAAAACTCATGTTCTCCTAGAATAGCCTTCTCTAAAAAATAAAGTTGTCAGTCCACAAGAAAAAAAACCACCGACATACCACACATTGCCTAAATTGTCACAAAATAAACCCATCAAATGTTTAAATATTTTTCTTAATCTTAAATGCATTTATTGTGAGTAATAGAAAAAGGGTTTTGGCCCGAGAAAGATTGAAGAGTTTATATCTAATTTTTAACATCTTATTAAACTTTTAATTTGCATGGTTTAGTTTCTTTTCTAACTATGCATCATTAAAAAGAAATTGCTTGAGGACAAGAAATGCTCAAGTGTTGTGGGGGGATTTCATAGCCGTTATATTTACCTGTGTTTAAAATAAGTATTTATAAGTATTTGTTGAAGAAAAGAGGAGAAATCGGGCAAATACCTTCAGAATGAGAGCTAGAGCATAAAACATTGGGATGAACGACTTTTTGGACCAAATGGATAACATTCTGCCCATAATTCGAGTATAACTTATTGTAGATAATTCCAAATGTCTTGATTCAAAGTTTCATGTGAATTATAACTCAATAAGCTACAAATGTTGTGAAGACATCATGACCAGAATTTGAAAGGATCAAGACTCAATCAACCAATAAAGTCAGGTGTTGCTGGTGGGATTTCAGGATGCATACGTCTCAGTGTTTTATCCATTTCTTTTGATTGGATGATTAAAAACATGTATTCAAGTTTTGATGGATAGAAGACTTCATTATCTACAAATTTGGTGAAGAAATCATGTCCAAATTCGTAGTGGAACATCCCAAAAAACCCAGGACAAAACCGGCGCCGGAATTGCATCAAACCGGCGCCGGTTGCTTGTAAAAATTCCGACCCCGGATTTTCCGAAACACAACCGGCGTCAGTTCACCACCTAACCGGCGCCGGTTAAACATATTTTTCATCGAAATTTCACTCAAACCGGCGTCGGTTAACCCCAAACCGGCGCCAATTACCCCAAATCTGTAGAAAAACCAGACGACATGCTTGGATATTTTGAGTTGATTTGAATATATTTGGAAGATATGGCTCGGAGATTTCGCCCCAAGTTGATTGATGATCATGAATAGACCATCAAAGATCATTTTCAAGCCTATATAAACCCTCCAATTCATCCCAAATTGATCATCCAATCTCAATTTAATTCATTAGTTCATAACTAGTTTTTATAGTTTTTCTTTGTTCTTCATGGTGTTCTTGAGGTGTGGAAGTTCATTTCTTCCAACCATTGATGTTTAGGTTATATTTCCTTTATATTTACATGTTCTTCTACATTCAAAGTATTGTAATTTTGATTAATATGAACGTTAGAGGCTAATTCCTTAAGTCAAGGCTCGGGATGAACCTCTACGCGCGTTAGTTTTTTTATATTTGTTCCAAGTCAAATTTTATGATTTATTCTTCTTATGCTTAATTTTCTATATATGTTATGCAACATAATAGTATAATACATGTATTGATATGAAGTAACTAACGTTGAAATATCAATTGGACACTAGAAGAAGTAATTCGCGTTTTCCTCTCTTTAAACTAATTATATATAATTACGTTGCATAACATCTAGATGTTTATATGGTCAATTAACCCGGGTAGAGGTAAAGGAGTTGTTACTTATCGCCACATCTTGGGTGAAGAATATCAAGCTGCTCATACTTACATCCTAATGAATTGTCAAGAAATTTTAACATTTTATAAGTAAGTTGAATTAATATTTATAGCAATTTTTTACCATTTTATAGTCATGAATTCATGATTTAATACTACCTCCGTCCCGAAAAGGTTCGCCATATTGACTTTTCTCAGTCAATGATGGCAAACTTTGGACAATGATTTTAATTATTATATTTGTATATAATTTATAAATTTTATACTTTTAAGAAAGTATTTTGAGTAAGGAACATTTTGATATAATTTTCAAATTCAAAATAATTTCGTATGAAAAATATCATTGGTCAAAGTTGATTGTGATTGACCAAGAAAAGTCAATTTAGCGAACCTTTTTGGGACGGAGGAAGTACGATTTAATCATTTTTGTATTATCTTACATTGAATTTAGAGCATCTTTATTAGTATTTGGTGATGATGCAATTGATGCAATGATAAACTTCCAACTTGCATCATGGAACAAAATCAGGTACTATAAATTATCAATAATAAACATTATATATTTACTATTGATTATTAATTATTAATAATTACACAATGTTATCTTATTTTATAGATAATGAGCTGTGTGACATTCAAGATCCGCTTTTACAAGCGTTAGCATGAGGGCTTTCCTCCTATGCAAAAGTTTGACGCTCATATGTGATAAACGGTTAGCCTATCACACAGTGGATTATGGGTGAGACCGACCAACGATGAATAGCGGATTATGTGTCCCAACCATTAGCCATGATAATTCAGAAACAATTTTTTTTGGCTACATGCATGAGGTTCTCGAACTCAACTTTAATGCAAGAATTGTCAATTACTTTGTTCAGCTGCACGTGCGTTGATCTGATACGAGGTGTGAAAAAAAACTCAAATATAATATAATTGACGTCGACCACTCTTGAGTGTACTGCAAATATGAGCCCTTTATACTCGCTCAACAAGCTGCTCAAGTCTATTTTGCAAAATATCCTTCAATGAAGCAGACACGAAATACATGAGTTTGTGCATGTACTATTCGTCCGAGGAAAATTGTATCACAGACTCAACACAAGGACGTTGATTTTGATGTTTTTCAACAAAAAAAATTTAACCTCCGTCTATTGCTGAGACGGTCAACTATAACATTGAGTTAAATGATTCAACTAAGATAAATCGATACACGAGGACCCATTTCACGAGAAATTACAAGGTGTCCTCATTTGAATCCAACTCTACATTTTTCTCTCCATTTCCCCCTCCATTTCCTTTTTTCTTCCTATCTATCCCTCCCTTTTTCTCTATCTTACTCATCAACATACCCCACCATAATTTCTCTCCTCTATATCTCTCTCCAACGGGAAGTATCCAATTACGGGAGAGGATCCAAACTCCCTCATTTAGGGTTGCAAAGAATTTCATAGGGTGTATTTATATTTGGAAGGACCGGAAGTCCAGAACAGAGACAGCGTCCAAAGTAAACTAACACGGATGGTTCTGCCATTCTTGTGTTGACATATTCATAAGAAAAAATTATATACGAAAGTCGTTTTGCATCCATATATGTAAATGCTTCCTTTGTTACTTTTAGACACACCACTCTGTGGTTTAAAAACAGAAAGAAAAGCTATAGAAAAAAGGGGCCCAGAGACTCCGATTTTCTTGGAAGGAATCAAGGGAGCTTCATATTCAAATGTGCTGGTGCTATACTTCAATTATATTTTAGAAGAAGCTTCGGCTGAAACCCGGGCCAATGCAATGGCAGCCTTGGAGCCAGACTGACGTCCCAAATGCTTGCTGATAAAATCGCCGGCCACCAATAGCTTTCTGAGGTCGACATTAGTTTTCACACCTAGGCCATCCAACATGTACACCACGTCCTCTGTTGCCACATTCCCTGTAGCTCCTTTCGCATAAGGGCACCCTCCTAATCCGGCTACTGATGAGTCCACCGTGCATATCCCCATCTGTCCATTTATAGTAGACACATAACAACAGTTTAAGTCATGCACAATTCTTTGAAAGCATAGTGTGCTGGACTCTTAGCATAGGAACTGAAAGGTGGTGTTTCACCTGTTATCCAGTTATCCTATTCTATCCCGAGTCTGTTTGGTAGATTTTTTTTCATATAAGCCAGTGTTCCTCAACAAAAAAATACTAGCTTATTTCATTGCGCTTGATAATGTGATTAAATTGTGATTCAGGAGTAACTTGTTTGCCTTAAATGGATTAAATTGATACTTCTTTCTTTGCTTTTTGAAATTGTTTTCCTTCACTTATTTCAATATATGTTTCAAAAAACACATGTTTTTAAATAACTGTTTTAGTTAATTAAGCCAACTAGCTAATTTCATCCGCAACTTTAGCGATTTCAGCTGAATTATCCACTTTAGCCATTCTAAGTCTCACCAAAGGGGATTATGTGTTTCGTAGTTGTTTATATCATACCCATTCATAACATTGATAGTCATTGTCTCGTTGAGAGTTTAAAAGTACAAAATTAAAGTTTACCACATTAAGTTATAGTGACATTAAAATACACTGTTTATTGGCTGGCGTGGGTACTAGTGACTATCATGACACTGAACTTACTTGAAGAGAAACTAAGATATTTGGAAGTGATTGCCCGTAAGTGTCGTGGAAATGGACAGCAAGCTTTTCAACTGGAACAACAGCCATCACAGCTTCCAGCATGGGGATGACAGTTCCTGAAATAAAGGAAAATAGTCACTCGAGAGATAGTATCACGCGACACATGATAGACTGCTAGAGTCATGGGATGAAATACTTAAGGCCGTTTCAAAACCAGAAAACAAAGAGGAAATAAGGAAAACAAAGAGGAAAATAAGGACGAAAGAAAGAAAATCGCCATAGTCATTATCAGCACCTTAATCCCAAATAGTTAGATCATCAGCACTAAATTAAGAAATAATGACAGTGACTATAGTGAACATGATGGCATTCCATTTATTGTGCAGTGGCAATGACTATATTTTCATAGTAACAGCTGTGACCATGTAGTCATATTTCTATCTACAAGTTTTGTGGAAAACGCCTTATATTATGGCGTCAATTCATTATATAAAGTTAATTAGCACTAGAAATTTATGCAAAAAAGTAGTAGCATTTGTGCTGAATGCCCTTCTTCGCAAGAATGAATAATGATGAAAATTTGATACCGTCATCATAATAGGCTAATTATTTCCATCATTTTCAATGGAACCAAAGACTCACTATTTTTTGGCTTGGGAATATGATGGAATAAAGCAAAATGGCTCACTAAACTGTCTGCGCTTCTTTGTTATGAAGTAAGAGTCAGTCTATGCAATTTTCGACGTGATTTTCACTATGGATCATTCGGAAACAGTCTCTATGTGCTTTAGTACAGGGGTAAGATTGCGTACATCCGACCCCCCTTACCCCACCGTAGGTGGGAAGCCTTTGCGGCACTGGGGGCACTGGGGTAATGATAATGATGAAATGATCATAATAGGCTGATTCCACATGCACACAAAATATCATGAAACAACAATGCCTTGAGGCTAGTATCATGTTCATTTCATGATTCGTATCCATTGATAGACATTTTATTTTAATTATATTTAGATTCATACACTTTTTTCCCCAGGCATTTCCCGTGATCCAAACATACCCTTAATGAGGCAAGAAATGGAGGTTAGCACTTTGGAGTAGCAATATTATGAGGATTAATTAATGCAGAGAGACTTACCAGGAGTACCAACTCCTATGGTGTCACCTAGTGAGATTTCAAAGCAACCCATATCGTGAAGTTCCTTTGCCAAATATGCAACTTTTGAAGGTGGAACTGTTCCTTCAACCGGGCACCCAATAACACATGATATATACCCCCGAACGGGTATTGAGAGCTTTTTAGCAGCAGATAAGACGTCTCTATAACGAACAAGACTCTCCTCAATGCTACAGTTAATGTTCAACTTTGAGAATGACTCTGAAGCAGATGCAAAAACTGCTACTTCTTTTGCTCCACATGCAATTGCAGATTCAAAGCCCTAATTCATTTATTCAAAACAATAGTAAGTACATATGATTTGGGGAACAAGGCAGTTAAATAGGATTTACCCACTTTTAGATTGGGGGTCAATACAGGCAATCTTGCTCCTTCCAAGTTCTTAACTGCTTGCATCACTTCCTTTGCATCAGATAGCTATAAAAAAAAAGGAAAAAAGACAGTAAACATGATATGCTGATGAAAGAAGTTAGATTTCTTCTCTATTCGTTCTTGATTGAAATGGCAACACTGAGTTTCTTTTCTATACAAGCTAAAAAAAATCCCATTCAGAAATGTGGTGTAAGAGCCTCTTTGGATTGTATACGGTCAAATTTGCTTTTACACGAAAACTGATGCTTTGAAAAGTCGAAATAAACAAAAAGTGATTTTGAAGGAAGCATTTGATATGATGCTTCTATTAGGGACTTCGGTTTCAAGGTTAACCTTATAGGAAGAAGAGTCCAATACTTTATATGTGAGTTTATATCTATATATTTGACCAATTTGCGATGACTTAACAGTTTCTCCTAAAAGCGAAGTAAATATTTTTTTATTGTAGAAAAGTCAAATAAAAAAAACTTTGTAATTGTACTATCAAATGTTATATGCCTGAACAATAGATAAAACATTTAGTAGACCCACTTCTTTAAAAACATACTTCTGAAAACCGTTTATAACAAATGCAGGACTTATTATTGACCAAAATATTACTCCTAGAGTTTCAATGGATAAAAAAATGACTAATAATTATTTTGGACATTAAAGTGACTTAAATAGCTCTAACCCTAAATGCATCTCGATATCTTCTTCCCCCTCCCATCAATTTCCTATTTCCCAGCCGTCACAAGAATTTCTCCACAAAAATCCTCCTGAAAAGTCGCCGGAAAATCACCGGAAACTATTGTCGCCATCACAGTAAGAGGTGAGATGGTGTCATGAGGGTTGGAGTAGTAAACACAGCGGGGTATGACGGTCTAACGAGGACTCGGGGAGTGAGTGACATATTAAAAGTAACATACCTAGTATGTTTTTTGGAATATCTAAAAAGCAGTTCTATCTTTTTCTTCAGCTTTTCCTTTAGCCATATTTATGTCAAAACCCCCTTAAAACATCCATATGAAATTTTATGTTGCAGTGACAAAAGAAGTGACAGTTGTGTTGATAATACAGGAAGAATAACAATGTAATATACCTGAGGTACCCATTTTGGTGAAACAAAACCCGTTACTTCAACCACAGGTAATCCGCAGGAAACAAGTTTACGAATTAATTCAACCTTTACAGATGTAGGGACAGTATTCTTTTCATTCTGTAATCCATCCCTTGGCCCAACTTCAACTATCTTCACATACTTCGGTACACTACTGAATAACTGTCAAAACAACAGCAAATCTACGATAAAAACTAAAACTTCTTTTGTAGATCTGTTATTGTTATATGAGATCGATACATACTGATGATCCATAAAAATAGTCAATTATAGTCATACTCACTCATACCATGTGCCTATTTCCCCCATTCAAACTTCTACGGTTTGACACACCATTATATGGTTTATCTCTAAATTGTCTTCTCTTTGCAAAACTTCCTCTGCCATATTCATCAAAATCTTCTCTGCAAGGGTAGCATTTATGCATTAGTGTGAAAGAATATCTTGTATAACTCATCAAAATAATGGTAGAAAGGTATCAGAAAACTGGGAGAACAATTACAAGATATTTTTTATGCCTTGATGTTAACTACATTATGATTAAGACAATTATAATATTCTTCAGCTATGGGTGTCTTTTAATATTCTGCTTCTAACTTTTGCCAGAAAAGAATGATGTAATATGAAAAAGAACCATCATACAGTTCTTTAGTCAACAAAGCAAGAATACTTAACATTAGAGATTTGAAACTTTTACAGGCCATTCAAAGAAGATCGCTGAAAGCTAGAAGGGAATATTTTATATTCTTTTAAGATAGACCCTTTTTTGTATTTTTCTATAAAAGAGACTAATATATAAAGATATTAGGATATAAGATATGCATGATTATTCTTTGAATAATGAAAACTGAAGCAGTGGAATTTCCAACTCGTTACTAATACATCCGGAGTAGTATTTATATATCTCATGTATATAATATTCAGATATTAGTAATTACTAATTAGTACCCTTAAAAAGATATTAGTAATCAGTAATAGGTGTTGTATATTAAATTACTAATACATATAAATATAATTTTTAAAAACTCCGTTATTATAGCATAAAAGAACCTATTCAGGTCTCATTAAGTAGAAACATGAACCATCACTTGGTATAAAACTGACATGCAATGCAAAAGCAAATGTCTTCCGTAACCATTTGCATTGATGATTAATGATATGCAGAAAAAGGAAGGCATGCACAATTTTAAGGAGAAATTCTCATTAGATATAAATATATAAGTTTTTGGGAACAGTGCATGTTATATGCCTATATTAAGTGTAGGAGAATGAATATGCACTAGTCGGGAGTGCAATTTCTTAAAGCTGATGAGATGCATGAATCCATGTGCACAAGGATGCAACACATTGATATAATTCAGATGAGGAAAATTATTAAATATATGTACAAGCAGTTCTGTAGAAGTTTCAACACATAATACTTCATGATACCATCATCTAATGATGTGATACAATTTTTTGTGACTGATATCAAAATTCCCTTCAATCCTTCATTTGTATTTTTAATTGGGAAGCTAAACAATGATGTCAAAAATGATTCTCAAGTATGTCACGTTTGGACACTGGCACTAAATAACTAATTTTTTTTAAATACAAATTTCCTAAACCATATACAACATCCAAGCCTTAGACCCAAAAGACTAACATGAAAGTAAATCAGCTACGAGCATTATTTATTTTTATTCAAGACTCACATGTACTCTAAGGTTTGTTTGGTAAGTTTCCCGTTTTCTTTTTCCTTTTCTTTTTCAAAAGCTTTATTTCTTATTTTCAAATTTATAAAACTCAAACTTGTGTGTGGGTCTATACTCTAGAAGGATGTTTTTACTTAGACTAATTTCAATCCCAAACCAGACTTAAATCTAAAACATGAAATTAATGTTTCTAATAATTTCAAAATATTACATTATTGTCAGATAATGAAAACACTAACAAAAATACTACCGCCTAACATACTTTCTATTCTTTTTATAAAAAAAATGAAAAACAAAAATCAGAAAGAAAAATGTTTGAACAATACCTACATTTAAACACATTCGCTTTCACCACAAAAGCAATATGGAATCTGAGAAATAGGATGTTGCTAAAAAGAAGAACTGAGATTCATTAAGAGTAGTAAGTCAATTTCAAGCCAACAGTTGAATACTTGAATGTCAAACGCCGAAAAGACAAAGTGAAAGAGCATAAAGCATGTTTGTCCGCGGATTTCGGAGGGGAGGGTGGTTTAAATTATTTCTACATTCTAAGGTTGGAAACAAAGTAAAGATAAAAACTATATAGTAATTCATTACCTAACTAGTACTATAGTTAATTGACTTAATTCTAATCTTAAGCTAACAAATAGGGATACTTAATTAAAAGAAAAATAAAACATCCCCTCCCCCTACCTCTGAAATCCATGAACCAAACAAGCCTAAAAGCTTTGACTCAATGGTACATGACTACATGTAATTCAGAAAAAAAACATGCAGTACACAATATAACTCACTCACTGCTAAAGAGAATGGAGGTTGTGGTGGTACTTACTCACAGCTGTTAGATGAGCTGCAGTTTCTCCCATCAATCCATCGTTCCCTCATTCCATCATCTCCCGCTGGCCGCCTACAGCCATTTGATGAGAATCTACCATCCAGCCCATCAATATTGGTCAACCTTGGCAACCTATCTAGACTAAGAGACTCCTCCAAGCTTGACATGATTGCAGATGCAGAAGCTTATGAGGAGCTTTCTTCTGCAGGAAAAGCAAATATACATATATAAGTACAACTAATGTAAGTGTCCAATTTTCAACATTCAAGACGGGCCAACATTTCTAGCAGCACTAGTTTACGGTTGCTTTATGTGAGAGAGCATGAAAAGGCAAAAACTATAGATTATCAGAGAATTCTTCCATGGGTGTCCACATAAAAACACAAATGTAAGGACCTAAGATTTCATTCTAAGGAAATCAGTCTGATTCAAGGGAGGACACAATATCATACTCCCTCTGTCCGATTGGACTTTGACAAATCTCTGCTTTTTATTGTCTAAAACACTTTGTCACTACTTTCCATTTAAAATAATTAATTTGTGGTTCTGTTAATTTCTCTCTCCTCTGGACAAATTTCAACCACATAATTTTTACTTTTCTTATTTCGAATACAACTTGAACCTTGCAATGTCTAATGAGAATGAGATTGTGTATCTCTTCGTTCAATAAATGTTGCTCAAACTTGACTACCACACGGAATAAGAAAGTAAATATTGTTCAGTTCAGGTTTGTACGGAAGAGAGATAATATTAACCGCAACTCTGCAAGTTTGTGAGTTTAAAAGAAAATAACAAAGTTCTTTTTGAACGGCGAAACAAGAAAAGTTGTCATTTAGTGAGATGGAGAGAGTAGCTTGTTATTTTATATTTAGTCAATATGGAACAAACTCTTCCACAACATCCAACACTTCATATGGGCATAGCTATGAATCTGGCTGGCTCAAATACTTGGAATAACAAATGATTTCTACCATTATGAAATTTGTACATATTTAGATTTTCTTGCCTAAATCTCAGGCACCAATTACTAGCTGCCAACATCTTTTAAGAATTGATCCTAAAATGTAGGCCATCTTAGCTAAGATCGTATGTGTAACCACTAGTCCGTTACAATTTCATCCCTGTAACTACTCGCAAGTTATCAGACGCAAAAGACCCAGACTTTATTCAAATTTTCTTGATCTAATGCATCAGTGATCTTATCCTAGCTGAACTTCTCCTTTAAATAGAATTCATCAACAAAAGACTTCAATTTTACACCCCCCAAATAAATTAGAAATAAATATTATATTCCCAAGTCCTTTACAATTTCATCCCTGTAACTACTCGCAAGTTATCAGACGCAAAAGACCCAGACTTCATTCAAATTTTCTTGATCTGATGCATCAGTTATCCTGTTATCCTATCCTAGTTGAACTTCTTATTTAAATAGAATTCATCAACAAAAGACTTCAATTTTACACCCCCAGATAAATTAAAAATAAATATTATATTCCCAAGTGCTAAATGATGAAAGAAATCAAGAAAACACTGGGACAAATCCCATCTCTGGAAAATATAAAGCTAAAGAACGTAGAAAAGATAGAAGAAAACAAACCTGGAATTTAGGTTGATGGAATGCGGAGAGAGAAGCAAAGCTAGAGAAGTAGAGAGCAGTCAAAACTGATATTGGAAAGCTCCACCACAACCCGGAGTATATTTTCACACGCCAACCCCCGGGGTGCTGGGGGGGGGGGGAATGGGTGGGTAGGTGGAAAAGAACAGTGAGGTTTTTTCCTTCATTCAATTGGACCGTATGTACGAGGTTCTAGATGATCCAATCCGTCAACGCTTCTTGGACTTTTGTTCTCCAACCATTGGGGTCCGTTTATTTTGTCTCGTTTGATTGGGCGGGAGGTAATTTAAGGTGAAAAAGAAAAAGTGCGTAATTTAATTTAAGGTGAAAAAGAAAAAGAGTTTTCATTTGCCTATTTTATTGGGTGGGAATTTAGAGGTTTTTTTGTTTGCATCGCTAACCATGTTTAAGAAATCTGACCCGGAAGCGAAAGAACGAAGGTCAATCCGGACCTGATCGGTTAACTCGGTCAACATTATAAAACGGGTCAACCATTTAACAATAATAAACATCTAATTATATACAAAATTAAAATAAGATGTAGGTATTTCATAATAATCAACTAATAATAATACTCACAAAACACTTATTGAAATACGGTTTTGATCTTATTAAAATATACGTAGTATAATAATACTCCATAATTTTTATTTTTATTGGACATTTATTATACTCTATAATTTGACATGATTTTTATTCTTAAACAAATAACTAGTATATAAATGTATTGCATATTTTTAGGGTATTGAAATTGCAATTAAAAAAATGGAAAAACAACAAAACAGGGTTTGGACTGGGTTTTGCCGAGCGGTCGGGTTTTTTCGGTTTTTGACCATTTCTGTGTTTTTTATTAACCGAACCGAGTTTCGGTCCGGATGGGTCAAGCAGGGTTTTTTAAACATAGATCGCCAACAAACAGGGTATGATGGGAACTGTGTAAAGAGTGTTGGGGTGGCAGGTAGTTTTCAGTTGGAGAGTAGTTAATTTTGCCATCTACTTTTCTCATTCTTTTTATTTCCGCCATACCTGTCTTCCTCCCCACTGCCCACTAAATTTGTGGTACTGCACTTTAATATGTGTAGCTCCCGTCCAAACCACTAATTACTTAAGTAATGTAATGATGATTATTATTATTGGCCGCTGACTCATTTAGTAAAACAATGAGTGGTTCTACAAGATAGTTGGAAGAATTTAGAGTGCTAATGAGTTGACCTCAAGTTGGATTTAGATTGAGTTGAATATAGATTGAAAAAGATTAACTTTTAAAACCAAAAAATACACATAAGCACTTTATAAAACTACTCCACCTCTTTAACATAAACTTCCTACCCCCACTAACATTGGGACATGAAGAGTGACATATTTAGGAAGGTGAGTTAGTATAGTTGATATTGAATTGATAAAGTAAGAATAAAGTAAAAATCACTTAGAGTCATACAAACTTTAACAAAGTTAGTATGACATGGAATTTTTCGAAAAAAATGAGGCAATCTTAACGGCACAGAGGAAATACTACGATCCCATAAATTCTTCCAAGTTTCATGTTTAGGATTTTCAAATATCATCTCCTCATTTCCATTTTGAGAATGATTCATGTGTTTGTTATTCATTCTATTCTTTTTACATCAACTACAATCATACAATTTCACTTTCTTACTCCGTATTTGTTACGAATTTCTCCCTCATATCTCCATCAATTGACTTGTTGGATGCAGTAGCTGATTTATAAAACATAATTTATTATCATTAGATTATAGACAAGTTCAGAATAATTCCTCGATGTCCTTAACTTCTACCAAGTTTGCCCTTCAAAATTTCAATACATGGGGTTCCTACTTTCTAGTTCCTACATCCTCATTCTTTAGATTATTTAAGATTTAATTGGATGATGTGTAAGATTATTTTAAAGAGTATCATTGTGAGTGAGAGATTATTTAGAGAAATTATTGAAAAAAATAATCTTGTATCAAGATTTGAACCTCAGATTATTTTAGGTTGTAGTTAACTTGCATTTAATGCATGCTCTTGAAAAACTAATTATTTGAGTATCATGATTGATGAATAGTTTTAAGATTTGAGATTATTTAAAATTTATTGAATAAATGTGATGTGGCAAAATAGAAAAACATTTATTTTAAAATGAAGATGTTCTAATAAATATGAAATAACCTATGTGATTAGGGTTACATAGTCCGATTCTGAGGGCAAAAGTATGAAATGGTAACACTTTGTTCAATTCCAGGTCAATTAGAATCAATGCTTCTGATAGGAATCCCAATTCGATAATTACTGGATCACAATGTGGTTGAGAAATACTACAAAAATAGACCTCAAGAACCATTTTAGAGAATGTGGAATTAGTTCTTTATACTAAAAAACTATTTTGTGTGATCGAAGTTCATATTTCTGGCCTGAACAAATCATATGGAATTACAGATTCACCCAAACCTTTTTTAGAATTCCTCATTCAGCATTGGCTAGTGGCCAATTTTATTACATGAATTTCCTAAAATGATTCATATGCAATTAGTGTCTTATTATCACTGATCAACCTAACCAGCACAAAAACAATTTGGAAGCGGGAGATCAGGCGAGGAGGGAAATCTTATTCTATTGGCAATAACCTTAGAAACAATGTTATAAAGAATAGGGAAAATAAAAATTATTAATCCAACCTTTATCAGCCTTCTTACAATAATCTCACTTTATCATAATTCAATAATAATTCAACTTTTACAATCTATCTTCATTCGCTTGGTCCTTGACCGGTTGATAACCTGTTATTCCAGGTTTTTTCATTTTCTTTGTAAATCATTCAACCATAAATCTTGCTTTATACAAATCTTCTCGAAACGGTCCCACATGTGATTTTTATTTTTTCTTCCCTCAATTTTTCTTTCCTTTTTATGTATTCTTATTCGTTGTAGTCTCTTTTTATAATTTTTTCCGAGATACTTGTTTATATTTTTCTTTTATTTCTATTAATATCTAAAAGCAAAATAAAAGTGGGCCGGCTCTTCCCGCTCAAAAATGTCACTTTCAGCAGTTAAGAGTAATTTCCAATTAAATTAGAGCTCTATTAGGTGTTAACGTTTCGTATTTCCTTAATTAGTGCTCTCCGGCCAATGCAAGACGTTAGATATGTGGTTCTAGGGAGTTTAGCTACTGTTTTTATTTGTTATAGATTTTCCTTTGTTTGAAAATTTGTTTTTCATTGGCCGGTTTGGGGTGGTGGGCTGGCAGATAGCTGTTTTGGATTTTCACAGGATTTCTCACTCACGTGCCTTCATTTTCATTGGCTGCTTTAAAGGTATAAACACTACCTTACTGGGCAAGGGGGGAACTCTTCGAGAGAAACCAGTTTGAAATTCAAAATTTTTTAAATAGTTTTCCCCCCGTTCCATTTCCGAAAATTATTGGTTGAATATGTGGTGTTGGCCACTTGGGTGTCCAGCTATAAATACACCAACATTAGTGTTCTAACTTTCACAGCTCATAGCTAGCAATTAACTACAGAAATAAAAGCATTCATTCTTAAAGATGGTTGGGATGTGGTTGTTGTTTCATGAGATTGATCAGAGCAGAACCACGTGGTCAATTAAGGCTAGGGCTATAAGAGTGTATTGAGAACCAGCACATGACTGCTTCCCAGAATCGTTGGAGGTTGTTTTCCATGACGAAGAGGTTTGGACATCTATTACTCAATCTCATGTTCACATTCTTTTGCATTTTAGCACAATCTATGTTGACATTTCGGTAAATTTTAGGGGTCCAAGATGCATGCGCATATTCCAGACCAGTTCATCAATAAGTTCATTGGCATCTTCAAGGACGGACATTTGTTTGCAGTGAAAAATTTCATGGTGGAAGAGAACTACATGTTCTTTAAAACCTCAACAAGTGCCTATAGACTTCGTTTTTTAACAAAAGTGCTGCATTTGAGATCAAGGGGGTTCCATTTCCCATAAGAATTTACTCACTGGTGTCTTTTGCTTCATTGCAATCCCAAGACACCATTGATGAGAAATTTGGAATCGGTGCGATTTATATTGACCTATCTTGATATATAAAACTTATTATAACCGCGTTAGACCCACTAATATAGTTCTATTATCCAGACATAATGGGTCAAGTAGTGCACGACTAAGACCCAAAAACAATTATGAAGAATGAGAGGCCCAGGAAATTGATGGAGTTGGTTCTGGGAGACCCAGAGTGAGTTCTTGATCTGTCATTAAACGCTTTAGGAGAGTGTTTATTATAGTAGACTTAAAATTGAAATAAACTAAACGTTTTGAGTAGAGGGAATGTGATAGCCTGTACTCTATGGGGACCAATGGTTGAGATGCTCATGACGAACAAGCAGACGACGTTGGATCCAATTGTGATGCTACTGCAGTGTTGCAGAGCTAGGAAGTATCAAGGTTATCTTAACACCCCTTACCCTTAGGTTACTTTATCCAATAATATCTAATAAAAGATGATACTTGAATTAGGTCATGTTCATGTTTCCAACATGTTTAACACCACCAAGGTCATTCTAAATGGGAGTGGTGAAGAATTTGTGGAATTCAAGTCAAGGTATATAGTCTTAAAGTTTATCTTTAACGATACCAAGATGAACAAAACAGCCTTACTTAACCTTTACTAAAAAATCAGGATGGCTGAAAGATCCAGTAAGGGACTTCGATTTTCAATAACAACTGACAACTCGGACGATGGGGACATTGGAACTGGCCAGCAAGAATTGATCACTATTGAGGATCTTACGAAACTTCAGGAGGCAAGTGCATTTCAATTTTATGTTGAAATATGTTAAAATAAAATTTGACTTTTATTTATGCATCATAAACAGGACGGGAAGCACTGGGTTTACGGGGACATTGTGGCTATCGACAGCTTCAAAGAATGGTCCTACATTTCTTGCATTGGTTGAAACCGTAAGGTTTCCCTTAACGGGGATAGCATTTGGTGTGTCTCTTGCAGTTCAAATGATGTTGTTCTTAGGTTTGTAATCTACACATTAATCTTGGTTTTAAGATCTACAGCTACAACTACTAAAAAAACTTTCTTTTGATGGATTAAGGTTTAAGGTGAACGTGCGGGTAGTTTATGGCACAACGCATGCCTCCTTCCTGCTCTGGGATAGGGAGGTGTCATGCTTGCTGGGGA